TGCTAATGAGAAAAGGAAAGACAACTTTTAGGAAACACGTCCCTTTGCTCACACTCTATGCAAAGCTAAACCTCAACAGCTAACTTACCAAAAACAGACCTACTATACCTGACCTGCCAAGCTAACCTAACCAAACCACCAGTAGGAAGTTTAGGCTCAGGCAGGGTGAAGATGGCGTTGGAAATCAATAGGTAGATGACTTTCTTGTGGGTGGGGGTGTTGTGTGGGTTATGGGGGTGGGTGGGGGTGTTGTGTGGGTTATGGGGTGGGTGGCGGATGGGTGTGTTAGTTAGTATACAGGAGTGAACACCATTTGTTTATTAAAATATATCAAACCACAGGCCATATAACAAACTGCAGTGGCTCTAAAATAACCCCCTGGAGGAATCTTATCAACATATCTACCTTTTCTTTACCAGATCCTGCAGGTAGCCAACGCCAAGCAACACAGCTCCACGGTAGTTACATCAAGCAGACGTATATATATATTTACTAAGCAAGGATACATTACTGAACACACCGCTATAGCACAGGTAAGTCACTTCATGTTTAAAAAAAAAAGGTAGAAATTGATTTTTTTTTATGATTTTTTTTATGATTTTTTTAAGTTGAAATATTAATGTTTTTGTTGTTTATTTAATATTCCTGAATGTTTATGAGTTTCTGTTATGGTTGTCCAGACATATTGGCATTGTGGACAGGGGTAATCAACCCATTATATCAGTTTCTTATTATAATTGATGCTCTAATCTGTGAAGAAGTTGATGTGGTGTGTGGCATGTTGTTGTCATCCAGTATACGAGTCTGATTTAACGGCGTCACTGTGTACGGGTTATGTGAACGATATATCCAGGTTGCGTTTATTAGTATATTAGTTTAATGGCGCTACTTTATTTAGGGAGGGGTGAAGCTTTTATTTCGTCTTTTATATCTTCTTCCTCTTTTCGTCATCACACACACACACACACACACACACACACTAAGCTTATGTTGTAGCCCGGGACAGACGTGCATCTTTAAGCTCTACCTCCACCAGAAGCTTTATTTTCAAGTCGCAGTGACCTCATTTCAGCAAAGCCTCGTACGACCTAAACTCCTGCCTCCTCCTCCTCCTCCTTCAGCTGTACTTGAGAAGGTTTGTGTCGTGTCCTGTCATGTCGTGTGGCAAGCAAGGAGGGCGTGATGAAGTAGTGGTCCGCTTCTTCTCCTCATGCCCCGCCTCCTCCTGCCCTGGTCCGCTCCGTCTCTGCCTTCCCATGACCAGTTCCCCAGACCTGCTCCTGGTCCGGGCCCGCCCTGGTCCACCCTGCCCTGCCTCCCTCCTGCCCCGGTCCACCCAAGGTCTCTGCTCCTCCTGCCCCGGTCCACCTGCAGTTCTGCCTCCTCCCTGCCCCGGTCCACCTGCCCTGCCTCCCTCCTGCCTCGGTCCACTCCACGGTCCGCCTGCCCCGGCTGGTCCACCTGCCTTGCCTCCCTCCTGCCCTGGTCCACCTGCCCTTGCCTCCCTCCTGTCTCGGTCCAGACCCTGGTTCTTGCTCCTCCTCCTGTCTTCGGTCCGACCCGGGTTCTGCCTCCTCCTGTCTCCCTGGTCCACCTGCCCTGGCTCTCCTCCTGCCCTGGTCCACCTGTCTTGGCCTCCTCCTGCCCTGGTCCACCTTGCCCTGCCTCCTCCCTGCCCCGGTCCACCTGCCCTGCTCTCCTCCTGCCCTGGTCCACCTGCCCCTGCCTCCTGCCCCGGTCCACCTGGCCCTGCCTCCTCCTTGCCCTGGTCCACCTGCCTTGGCTCCTCCTCCTGCCCCGGTCCACCTGGGTTCTTGCCTCCCTCCTGCCCTTTTGGTCCACCTGCCCTGCCTCCCTCCTCCTGCCCCGGTCCACCCAAGGTTCTGCCTCCTCCCCCGTCCCGGTCCACCTGTCTCTGCTCCCTCCCGCCCCGGTCCACCTGCCCTGCCTCCTCCCTGCCCTCGGTCCACCCGTCTCTGGTCCGCCCGCCCCGGTCCACCTGCCCTGCCTCCCTCCTGCCCCGGTCCACCCAAGTTCCTGCCTCCTCCTGCCCTGGTCCACACCTGGGGTCTCTGCCTCCTCCTGCCTCGGTCCACCTGCCCTGGTCCGCCCGCCCCGGTCCACCTGCCTTGCCTCCTCCTGCCCTGGTCCACCTGCTCCCTGCCTCCTCCTGCCCCTGGTCCACCTGTCTCTGGTCCACCTGCCTTGCCTCCCTCCTGCCTCGGTCCACCTGCCTCTGGTCTCAAATCACTTACTATTTAGTAGATAAATTCTGGATTTCGTTGATGGACCTTAGTGTGTGTGTGTGTGTGTGTGTGTGTTTGTGTTTTGACAGTAATGGCCCCTTATTATGCCAGAAGCCACGACTGAGGAACATAATTATCATCTTCAGATTAGCCATTTGTTTGTTTTAAATAAATTAGTAGAAAAAAAAATTACCTACAGTGGTTAGAGGTTGTAAATACTTTCTCTACTAATACGATTTTTATTTATTTTTTATATTATTTTGCTGTTAATTATTCTTGATGTCATACCCGTGATGTGAGCCAATTAGTGAGTTGTCACAGGTGATGTTTCGGCCCAGGTGAGTTTGTGACGTGAATAAACACACAACAGCAGAAGTTAATTACGTGTTACCTTCACCAGAAACAAACAGTGATATAGTGTTGTCTAAAACATTATTATGGTGTTCGATATATATTTTTTTCTCTTTATTTTTATGTTAATTTTCAGTTTTTTTTTCCTGTCTTATATTCTTCCTTGTTATTCATTTTCCTCTTTTTGGTCCTCCTCCTCTTGGTCTTCCTCCTCCTCTTGGTCTTCCTTCTCCTCTTCGTCTTCCTTCTCCTCCTCTTCTTCCTCCTCCTCTTGGTCTTCCTCCTCCTCCTCTTGGTCTTCCTTCTCCTCTTCGTCTTCCTTCTCCTCTTGGTCTTCCTCCTCTTGGTCTTCCTCCTCTTGGTTTTCCTCCTCCTCCTCTTGGTCTTCCTCCTCCTCCTCTTGGTCTTCCTCCTCCTCTTGGTCTTCCTTCTCCTCTTCGTCTTCTCCTCCTCCTCTTGGTTTTCTTCCTCCTCCCTCCTCTTGGTCTTCCCTCTCCTCCCTCTTGGTCTTCCTCCTCCCTCTTGGTCTTCCTCCTCCTCTTGGTCTTCCCTCCTCCTCCTCTTGGTCTTCCTTCTCCTCCTCTTGGTCTTCCTTTCTCCTTCGTCTTTCTCCTTCTCCTTGTCTCCTTTCTCCCTCTTCGTCTTCTCCTCCTCTTGGTCTTCCTCCTCCTCCTCTTGGTCTTCCTCCTCCTCCTCTTGGTCTTCCTCACAAAGGCTTCATGGCAGGTTTTCCTCCCCACTTGAAGTTTGTGTTTACAGAGTCACTTGATGTTGGTGTACAGAGTCACGTGATGTTTGTGTTTACAGAACCACTTAAAGACTTAATTGTAAAAAAAAACACATCCTAAGAATCTGAAACATAGTGAAGAAATAGACTAGATATTGACAAATGAATAAAAGATGGAATTCAGTCTGTCGTTCTGACTCTGTGACCTGGGGGTGGCTTAAACATCAAGGGATTCTTATAAAACACTTCTACACTACAAAGCTCCCTTCCTTGGCTGAGCTGTTTTTTTTTTATTCTACAAAACCCTGACTGGTGGAAGCCTGGGGGGGATGTTTGTTGCTAAGGTTTTGAAGTTTGTTGTTTTTATTTGTGTGTGTGTGTGTGTGTGTGTATATGTTTGGTTGTGTGTGTATGTGTTTATAGTATGTGTATGTTTGTGACTCAGTTTATTGTCGGTGTGTGTGTGTCTGTCTCTGTCTGTGTGTGTGTGTCTGTGTGTGTCTGTGTCTGTCTGTGTGTGTCTGTTAACCCTCTCTTCCTCCTCTTGGTCTAGGGAAAGAGAGACATACCGACCTGCCACACCAAACTGGAAGCCACAGAGGGTGATTGTAATATATGTCCCTCTTACTTAATGAAGCTGAACACATAAAGAGGAAACATTATACCCCGTAGGATGAGAGACCAAGACCCATTAGTGAAATTTATAACGCCTTATCTTAACCTTTTGAGTCTTGGAGGGTTAAAAATGTCGTCATAAAAGTGTTAAAATGTCGTCCTCAAAGGGTTAAAACGTCGTCCTCAAAGGGTTAAAAAGTCGTCTTCAAAGGGTTAAAACGTCATCCTCAAAGGGTTAAAAAGTCGTCCTCAAAGGGTTTAAATGTCGTCCTCAAAGGGTTGAAACGTCGTCCTCAAAGGGTTTAAATGTCGTCCTCAAAGGGTTAAAACGTCGGCCTCAAAGGGTTAAAACGTCGTCCTCAAAGAGTTAAAACGTCGTCTCCTGCTGGTTTAAATGTCGTCCTCAAAGGGTTGAAACGTCGGCCTCAAAGGGTTAAAACGTCGTCCTCAAAGAGTTAAAACGTCGTCCTCAAAGGGTTTAAATGTCGTCCTCAAAGGGTTAAAACGTCGTCCTCAAAGGGTTAAAACGTCGTCCTCAAAGGGTTTAAATGTCGTCCTCAAAGGGTTGAAATGTCGTCCTCAAAGGGTTGAAACAATCATCCTCTCTCTCTCCCTCCCCTTCCTTCATTCCTTTCTATGTACACACACACACACTATGTATTTGTATATATTTATAGAAATCTGCATTACATATATCAACATTATATATATATATATATATATATATATATATCTTGATAAAATCACACGGGAAAATGGAAACAACGGAGTACCTTAGCTTTCGTCTTTATTCAAGACATCTTCAGAGGCAACTGAATTACATGGACAGAGAGAGGCTTAAATATACAGGGTGACCTAAAAACATGAGGTCATGTCATAATGATGACATCCACTAATCCCCACACCAACACAACCGTAGAGGAGCTTAAGAGAAGGGTGGTGACGTGACTAGACAGGTCAGGTCAGAAAAAAGGGACCCACAAAATAACTGTCATACATCAAGATCAAAGGTTTTCAAAGCAGTTTTAACCTTGGGCCACTGACAAATAAATTTATGTAACATATTATCAGTTTTGAACTGACCATCACTAAGGTTTATTGATTTTAATTCCTTAATCAAACTAGCTTCAACCAGAAGTCTTTCTGTGACTCAAGATGATTTGAATACTTCTAAGCTTTTTTCCCAAGCAATGGGGTGATTATTATTCCTAACATGAACGAACAAGGCACTGCTTTCAGATGCAGTTCTGATATTATACTTATGTTGTTTGATTCTGAGCTGCAGTGTTTTTCCTATCTGACCTACATAATTACAATTACATTGGCTACATGGAATACAATAAACACTTCCATTTACATTCAAACTTGGGCTATTCCTTATTAACATATTGGTAATGGTTGAGTCATACTTGAAAACAACATTAATATTTAGAAGCTTGAGGGACCGAACTAAAGGGACAAATTCATCACATTAGGGCAGAGTCAAAATATTCTTAAGTGTAGGAACTTGTCTGGTTACAGAGGAATGAAAGGATTTTTTAGCCCTTTTAAAGCAAATGTAATTGTAATATATATATAAATATATATATATATATATATATATATATATATATATATATATATATATATATATATATATATATATATATATATATATATATATATATATATATATATATATATATATATAGAATTAAAGCTAAAGGTCTGGTCTGGTTAGGTTGGGTTGGGTTGGGTTAGCTTAGGTTAAAGGTTGGGTTAGTTTAGTTGTTAGTGTTTAATCTTAAGGCGAAATAACCTGGGGGGGTTAATCCTCAGGTGATCCGTGGAGGGTAATGTGTCATCCAGGTTGGAGGTAAGATTCCAATAACACGTCCAGGGGGTGACAGAGAGGTGGTGGACGCCAAGGCTGGACTATCAGAGAGTGATGGATGCCGGATAGCCTTGACATACATTCATTTATTCATGACAGGCTGACATGACACCCAACTAACTCGGTCATGGCTGCCTATGAATAACTATGGGGATATTTACTGAGAGTGAGGTGTGTGTGTGTGTGTGTGTGGGGGTGTGGCCCCAGGGAGGAAGGGATGTGGTGGTGCTGATACAACACGATATATTGTACACCAGAGTCATATCTTATTATCTGGGGCAGGAGGAGGAGGGGCAGGAGGAGGCTGTGGTGGAGGAGGAGGCTGTGGTGGAGTGAGGAGGCTGTGGTGGAGTGAGGAGGTACTGGTGGAGGAAGAGGTGGTGGTCGTGGTGGTGGAGGTCCAGTAGTGACTCCAGCAGTAATGGGGACCTTCCCTCCTGGACCCACTAAAAGCTCTCTCGTGAACTCAAGACTCGTTTAACTCCTCACATGGTTCTTAAGGCCTCCCCCCCCCTCATCACCTAAACACACTCTACGGAGATTAAAGGAGTTTGTCATGATCCTAAACACACTCTACGGAGATTAAAAGAGTTTGTCACGACCCTAAACACACTCTACGGAGATTTAAAGAGTTTGGCATGACCCTAAGCACACTCTACGGAGATTAAAAGAGTTTGTCAGGACTGTCAACACCATGGCACTACCAGTAAGGCTCCTCACACTTAAGTTGTCTCCTCATGATGCACCATTGACCCTGGGTTGGTGGACTGGTGTGGCACTGGGCCTAGGTCAGTTTGGAGCAGGTATTGTCTTTTTTTATTTAGTTATTTTTTCTCTTCTATGACCTGACGACCCAAAACCTCGCTGCCAATGAACCAGGTCACTTTAGTCCAGCTCCAGGGAGTATTCTCGGATGAACACGGAATCTCCTTATGGTCGAGTCTCTCCTGCAAAACACCCGACATTTCAAAGCTGAAATGAAAAGAATCAGTATGACCTAAAAGTGGGCCCCATCGGCTTTAATGGCCAGTTGGGGGAGCAGTGTGGTTATAGTATACTGCAGACTTGAGCCTCCGGTATACAAGGAGACAGTGTGGCTGGTATGGCATCCGACTGATAATTCTCTTCCCATGCTGTAAAATTAGGTTAGGTTTGGTACCCATTCTCAGCTGGGTCGACTGGGGGCGCCTCACTCAATGGCTAACTGAGGTACTCGGACCCTTGACTGTTGGGTCAGGAGGCGAGGGCTGTATCCACTTGGCCGCCACGTCCCTTTATGACATAAACTGCCTCTTAAAATATCAAGTGTCTCTCACACACACACACACACCAGTAAAATAAATCATACCTTGATGTTTAGTGTCAAAATTTACCCTGAACTTAAGACTCAGTACTGTACCTCAAAACTCCCGTAGAAGATGTGAAGCAGCTCCTGTATTATAAAACCTACCTCGGCCCGGGACGCAAGACAACTCTCTCTCTCTCTCTCTCTCTCTGCGTGTGTGTGTATTTTTTTCTTGTGAATTCCTGTAGAAGACACGAGGCCTTCTACAAGTACTAGGCAGGTAGGTGGGTCTGGTTCATCATCCAAAAAAGTGTTGGTGTGGAGGGTGAGGTAGGAGGATGAGGTTGAAGGGTGAGGATAGAGGTTGATGGATGAGGGATAAGGGTAGAGGATGAGGGGTGAGGGTAGAGGAGGTTGAAGGGTGAGGAAGGTATGTGACTAGCAGAGCACCTTCGCATTGATCCACAGTCTGCGTTCTGCCCTCACACTCGACTTCCTCCTCCTCCTCATACTGCTAGTTCCTCCTCCTCATACTGCTAGTTCCTCCTCCTCATACTGCTAGTTCCTCCTCCTCATACTGCTAGTTCCCTCTCCTCATACTGCTAGCTCCTCCTCCTCATACTGCTAGTTCCTCCTCCTCATACTGCTTACACTATTGTTGGTGGTGTCTGTGATGGTAGCTTTGGGTATGGGGTGATGGTAGTGATGGTGATGGTAGTATTGGTATGGTGGTGATGGCATTGGGTATGATGGTGTTTATAGTGTTGGCGATGGTGTGATGGTGACACTGATAATGGTGATGCAATTTTGATAACCTCATTGTACAGTATATGCCATTTGTCAGCATAGGTCAATTATATATTTTTTTTAGGCCTTTGGATTACATGATTACATTTTCGACTGTTTGATTTATTAATTAGTATTATTATTATTGTTTTTTACATCAGTGTCACACAATTCTAGTTATGTTTTTTCATAGGGCCATTGTATTAAGAATTTTTTATGTGTTCTCTTTATTAATTATATCAGTCAATAAACCAACAGAATGTGCGAGGCTAGTCCATGTACCTGATGACCCTTTGATCTTTGTGTCAGGTTATAAAGAACTTCGGGCATTTGAACTATGATATTATTATTATTTTCAGTGGAGGGGTTTTTATCAGGGACGTAAATTTACTAAGGCGACCTTTGACCTAACACCGAGATTGGATCACTGCCACTGGTGAAAATAACTTCTCCGGGGCAACGCAGACGAATTCGCTTTCCTGCTCCGCTGTATCACATTACCAGGCGTTTGGATTCGCGAGGATTCTATTCGTTGATTTTGTCTCCTAACTGATGCCAAGTAAATGTATGTAATGATGGACTCCCGGTTTCATTTTGAAGCCAGTTTGGATGTTTCTTTTGTGTTTGGGTTTCAAGTCAGTCCGATAGGAAAACTCAACGGTGCTACTTTACCGTGCCATCTACCCGGTACATAGATATCTTCAGTGTAACCTAACCTAACCGCACACTATAGTAGCGCCAACTCAACTGAGAATTTGGCTCCATGTTATTTATTTATTTTTTATGAAGAAGGTTATAAGGTCTAGGGGTACATAGTATATTATAGAAGTAATAGTATATATGTTTTATTTAAGCTTTACACAATGAACGTTTTACCAGCCATATGAAAACCTTTCCTGGATGATCAACTGACCTATTGAGATATTTTTTTCCGTTGACCCCCTTAATGGCGCTGTTCGATATACGGCCATCCTCACACTGATGCCGCCATAACCAATTTACGATAATCTTTATTAATTAGGATAACAGATGTTCGTTGGCTGTTGATATAAACTATGATTTCTCTCAGGATCCTTTGATGTGCTCATTATCCAGATTGTAAAGGACAGTCAGTCGGGAAAGTTAATTTGACTGTGTGTGCAGTGTGTGTGTATAGTTGTGTGTGCCTGTGTTGTATATATTGTATGTGTATATTTTATAAGAGTGTATCATAATTGTATGCATGCATGTGTGTTGTACAGTACAGGTGTATACATTTTATATACATTTTACACATGTGCATGTTGTGTGTGTGTTAGTACAACTTTACTACCTTGAAATTATTTGAAGACAAACTTTCTTCACTGGATAGATTAAAAAACTAGGACAATTTGTAGCCTCGTGTGTTTTCATATACGAACCAGGTTATTTTCAGCAATATTTCCTCTCAAGCAACATAACGTGGAAACTTGTTAAGTCGCGTAATAAGTTACATTATATTGTTTGCTTTATGTTTCATTTGTTCCTATTATTTGTCTAGATAACTTCCATGTAAGTTTGTTTATCATGAGACATGTTGAAATTGTGCCCCAGTGTGTGTGGCTGGTGTTATATTTGTTTCCAGTAAATATTGGATTATAATTCTTGGTGTTAGTCCACTGCCCACCGTATCATCCCACTTGGACAATTCCCATATGGACGATTAAGTAAAGTTATGTTTAATCACATAAAACAGATAATTGTCCAGATGGGAATCGTCCAAGTGGGATGTAATCCTGGCCTCTCCTGACCAGACTGTCATTGAGACCTCTTAAAGTATGGTTTAATACAGCAAAAGTTCAATTCTTAAGTACATTATTTCAGAATGTACAGGTGCTCCTCTACCTACAAATACATTATGTTCCTGAGGCTTGTTCATAAGTCCAACTTTTCTTTTGTAAATACCGAACATTGTAAAAAACGAAAAAAAAATGGATGTTTAGTACAGCTTTACCCTGCAATACAGTCCTAGAACCTGGCTCACTCTTGTCCTCTTTGGTAATGTATAGCAGGTTTTATCTGGAGTTTTCTTCAATATAATCCAGTCTCATCCACATTAAACACCTGTTCTGGAAGGTGACCCCCCTCAGTGATGATGTTTCTATCTCTGAAAGTTGGTAAGTAGAGGAGCACCTTTAATTATGATATGGGTATATCCTCTTATAATAAATATGCATTTTTCTTATCTTAAGACCTTCATATTCTGAGCTAAGAGCTGAATTGACAAGGCTGTAGGCTTTTCTATTGTTCATTTTACTCATATCATATGATCTTTTAATTGTTGCTGCAGGTGATAAGTAGAGGCCAGCCAGGTAGGCTATCCTGAAAACTAAAGGTGACTCGTGGCTTAGAACTCCTCTGTTATAATTGGTCGCTGTTTCAACAACACTAAACTTAGCCTCAACCTCGTGCATCAGCTCACTCATAACACACATTAATTTTTGGATCATCTCTTCCATTTCTGTTTTAATGTGTGAACTTAAAATTAAGGTTATGATATAATAATTTTATAAGTTATGTTGGTGTTTGTGTTTCAGGAGCGGGTGTGAGCGTGTGTTGCGGGAGGCGGGAGTGTGGGCCATCATGCAAGCTCCGATCAACCATCACTTCCTCCCAACATGATCTGGTTAGATTTACAACACATTGTGTACATTATTGATTTTTTTACTTGTCTGCCTTTACAAACACACAATTTTGTATTTTTTCTGCAAAGTATTTCACATGGTTATTTTTGTTTCTCCAAGAGCGGGAATTCTCAGAGATCAACACAGAATAGTTATTATTCTTTAAATAATCAAAATACTGTACTGTATAAATATGATAAATTAAATACTGAAGAACTGTAGTGATTCTTCAGGAGAGCCCAGGACTCGGTTACAAGCTTCCAGTGAACAGACTATGGAAGCAGATCACTAATCTACCTAACTTGAATTAATTGAAGCATAATTCACTTTTATTACCTGTATGATATTAAACATCTGAAATGAAAAAGAAAAAATTTTACCTTATGTGAACTAATTTTCATTCACGTACGTATAACAATAAAGGCAAAACATAATGTGTTATCGTCTCTTTATTATGAATACTGTAATAGTGTTTACTTGAACAGGTATGCTCGTCTGCTGTGTCATCACCCGTACGCGGTGCTGAGCAGTGTAGTAGTGGTTGTGGTGACGTGTCTGGTCCTCTCCCTCACAGCCCGACCACTCCCGGCCTTCACAGACCCATCCCTGGTTAGTCTCCTTTCATACACTTCCTTCTCTTGAATATTAATTAGTATTAACCTCTATTCATTAATCAGGTTGTGTGTAATTGGTTGTACAGGTATCTGAATTTTGTTAAGATACTTTTAAATGTATTTGATAAAACTGAAATATTAATAAACTTGATTAAATAAAAGTTTGGTGCTTGTGAACATGTTAGTACTGTATGTATTTATGTGAAACTAAGACCTCTTGTTCTGGTTTGTGTTTAGGGGTTTGAGTCAAGAGGAACAGTAATCAGCCAGCGTGCAGTAGCTTGGGAGAACCTCTTGGATGCTTCTCGTCCCAGTGGACCTCTTGGCGTCAACCCTCTTAGTGATCCAAACTTTAAAGATCGACTTAACTCAGGAAATGATGGAGAGAAGGAAACAGATGGGGATGACAAGCCTCCGGTACACACACACAAAGTAAGCCATACCCAATTTATGTCAGTGTCACTAATCTGTTTGAAAGTAACAGTAATGTACAAATTAATACCAAATGAAAGGTTCTGTAAGATTTCCTCAAGGTCTTACATGTCTTCTGTTACTTTATGAATTTTTTTTCCGAATAGGTTTTGCCCTTAATGTTTTGGTTAAATCATTTATTGGTCGTCTATGAACCTCAGATATATATGATAGGTCCTTTTTCCCCCTTGGCCCAAAGAACCATAATACTTCGCCTCACTTTCATTTTGTTGTACAGAACTGAAATATATTTTATGACAAACAATGTACTTGACAGCTGATGATAAGGAACATGACTATAAAGAGATAGAGTATAGATGTAAATAGTGTCAGACAGAGTTTGTTTTGGTGATGTACTGTAGACATATAGAGAGAATGGGTAAATGGTATAGTACTGTAATGGTAGGAAAAAGATGGGAATACCAAGCAGGTGAAAGGACAGGAAAGACCCATGTGTGTGTGTGTCTGTCTGTCTGTCTGTTTGTGTGTGTGAGAATATCTGAAAACCATGGGGTCAAGTAAGTTTTGGGGATGGATGTGCTGCTCATGGGTTGATACAGTACTAAGGTGCATGAAATAACAGGGATGAACTAGATGAATATTTTTGGACCTTTTTATGGAAGTGGATCACTAAATCAGAATACCGTACAGCACTTAAGAGAATGAACGTCAGCAAATGGAGGGTGAGTGTTTGTGTGTGTGGTTGAATATTGCCACTCTAGATCATAGTGGTAAAAGGCTAGCTAGATTGAAGATGATATTTTTCAGAAACTGTATTTTTTTTTTTTTTAAGTTTTTAGTGAAGCCATGTCAGTGGTGTAGAGCTCCAATAATACATCTGTAACTTGGACACCTGTTTTAATATTGATGACGTTGCAGGTCTGTATTGAGATGACACCTAATGGTCCGGTTCAGGTGTTTGACAACTGTAGCAGCAGCACGGGACAAAACGCCAGTGACGTGCGAGAATTAGAGGAGACGCCTATTTTTGCCTTGAAGGTTCTTGTGGACATGGCTGAGAGAAATGATGAGAGAGGAGAGAACCCTTCAGAGTACAACTTAGAGAATGAATGGGATCAAGAACACAAGATCCATAACCATGAGAATGAACACGATGATCAGCTCCATAACCACGACCATATCGGAGAGGACGGCTTCTTCTGTAACCCAGTTGGTGAGTCGTCTCTGCTCTTAGTATGGGTTTGATTAATGTCTTGATTATATTCTAAGAGCTACGCTTAGAAGTACAGTAATTGGAAAAATACCCTTAGAAATGATCACGGTTTCCCCCATATAATTACGAGAACCTAGATTGAAGGGGAGGTAAATTAGGATTGGGTGGATAATGTGAGTGTTTATGTCTTTATGTGGAGGGAGGGGTATAAGGTACAGTATATAAGGAGTGAGGCAAGACAGGTCAGGTCAGAGGCAGATGGAAAGTGGATGAAGCAGTTTAGCAGAGGGAGACAATGTAAGAACTTAAATGATTTTTGGGGAGTTTGTTGTAATGTGGTGAGATGAGAGAAAGTCAAACCTGGTTGGAAAGGCAAATGTTATTGAGATATTACCATAAAAATTTTTATGGTCTAGAGAAAGTATATGATAGAAAGACAATGTGGGAGGCATTAAAATTATTCAAGGCAAATGGGAAGTTGTTAAATTTGTCCAGAGTTTTTATAGGGAGAGTGAATGTATGAGACAAGAGTTTACTAAGAAATGGAAGACTTGTTCTCAGTAAAATTGGAGAGTGAATGTATGGTAAAGTGATGAACTGAATCACAAAATAGTGAAGGGAAAGAAGGTAATACTGTAGTTGCATTGAGAAATGTTTGGAGAGAAAGAACCTTATCACTGGAGGCAAGGTTGGGGGGTTGGTTGTACAGAATAGGGAAGCTGATGAACCTTGGCATATGAAGAGTGATAAGGCTGCAGAGAGTAAGAAACATTGATTCAAGGAAATGTTAAAGTAAAAGAAGTATTAAAGATGTTGACTATTGAGAGACTGAGGTGTCTTGTTCGTGTTTCTCAGTGCAAGTAAGTGGCAGTCTCACTTATATGGTAGCCATAAGAGTAGATGTTTCATGTATATTTGTCTGGAATTTTTAAGACTTGAAGAACGTTGAGTTTTTGGGGAAGATTCTATTTTAGAATCTTCCCGGAGAGGGACCGTATTGTTTTCACCCTCATTGCAAATTTTTTCGTATGGATTTTAATAAGATAGTCTACAGTGTATAACATATATAATGATCCTTAAACTTAACTGAACACTTTTAATAAACTTGTTAATGTTTGTCGTTTTAGATCATCTTTAAACATTCATTTGATTATTGCAGTTCCTGAGTATGGGCACATGGTTATCAAGAGCACAGTACCACGAGATTCATTACTGACTTTAAAGTACTTGCAAGCAATATGTCAACTGGATGACCGATTACGTTCTCCAGCTGAATTTAAACCCATATGTGAAACCTGGTCCCCTGGTCGCTGCTGTCCTTCCTGGACACTTCCAAACTATGTTGCATTTCTTTCTAACCGTACATCTTGTCACCACATAAAGGTAAGACCCAGAATACTGTATGTTGTATGCACTCTTGAGGATGTTCACTTAATACAGTAATGTACTAAAAAAGAATTTCAGATTATGCTGTAAAATAATAAAATGAGATCTCAGTACTGTATTATAATCTTGTTCTGTAATTTTGATTGTCAATGAATGTACATGTCATATGCTGTATATTATATATTGACTTAGTGGAAATTCATAGATAATTTGGTTTGCAAAACAGCTAGAAGATGTCATCAACGTTCATCGTCTGTTGCGAAGATGTGCTCGCTATTTAGACTTACAACTGGAGGGAGGCTGCCATGGCCATATAGGGTGTCGGCGTGTTCCTCAAGTGTGCCTGCAGCATGATGCTGTCTACACTATACTTCATTATTTGGTTGATGCTGCATTCCTGAATCCGGAGGTATTGACATGGTTATTTATATATATATATATATATATATATATATATATATATATATATATATATATATATATATATATATATATATATATATATATATATATATATATATATATAAATAAAATTTATTTTACATGCATGTTCACTAAGTGACTTAAATATGAAAATGCATGAATGTCATCAAGTAACAACATACATTACAGTACTAATAATAACTTGTAGTTTTATTTGAATGAATGAGATTGTAATTTATACTTTGCATGCACTGTACAGTACTATTTTGTAGTTAAAATTCACTTAGATTTATTCAGTCCTATAGGTAGGATAAATGATGAGCAGCAGAATGGTGAGTGAGGTGGGTGTGGTGAAAGACGGCCAAGACGTGTGCAAGATGAAAAGATTTGAGATTGCCAAGCTTGTTCTGCACTTCCTACCATACACATATGTAATAAGAAATATACAGCACTGTATAGGTATAGACCCTAAAATCCAGAACTCATTGGACCAAGAACCAAACCGAATAATGAGTGTTGCAAAGCTAATTAGATTTTTTCATATTTATTAGGACAAGTAATTAACAAAAGTTCAAATTTTTTACCTTAGATCCTTAATCAGTATGTTGAGGACTACCTACTGTATACTGAGGTGCTGAGCAAATTTTAACTTTTTATCCCAAACTGTGAGCATAACTATAGGAAAAACACAGCAATGTATGGACATTCAAAACTCACACATATTATTTTATAAAAGCAATTGATTTAAACATACAACAAATTCAAATGACTTTATCCAAATCATGACCAGGGAGAAGTTTAACCCCCTTGGCATTTTTGTGGCTCTAAATTACTGTTTCTTTGAAAATTGGAACTTAATGTGTTTAACTACCATCTTAGGAGGCTTGGGTCTCAGGTACCAGCTATGATGGAAGGGTTGATGATTGTAAAGGTCTAATTTATGACCTGAGAGTAATGAAGATATGACCTGCAACTTCCTTCTATACTTAGTATGAGGAGTGTAACTTGTCCACTGAGGTAGTGACTTGTTGTCTGTGGTTTTAGGAGTTTGAAGCATGAGGCACGATTCACAAAATTTTATTCCAAAGGCTTGCTTGTGCACTATCACCTTATGTAAATGGTGAGAGCTGGATTAATGCAGCTGACTCAACATTACCGCTGTCATGCAGCTTTGATGGCTCTGCAGGAATCATCAAGTGAACTTATGGCAGTCTCACAGATCACTCCTCCATCCCTCCCCTCACAACCAAAAGGAATCACACCACGCATCATTCCGTTTTCTGAGTTTTGTATGTAAATTGCATAAAGAAAATACAGCAAGATTAATATTAGCTGGCTTTTGAATTCTTTCTTTGCTTTTGCATGTTTTAAGTGTATTGAAATATATAGAGGAACAAAGGTGACTATATTTTCTCACATATACTGTGGAGACTGATTTGAATGGGATAGATGAAGATTCTTATAATTTATCAACAGGCCTGTGTGACTCCCATTGAGAACATACACATTGCAGAAAAAATTCCTTGAACATTTAACAGTATCTAGCATTTACTTATGGTTCATATATATGATTGGTTTATATCTAATAATGCAGCTTTTCATCCTATATTATGTCAGAACCACAATATGAAAAAAAAAGTAACACCTTAATACAAAGAAAAGATCCAAGAAAATATGTTAAGATTTCAATTCCCTTCACTTACTGATCCTCAAGTGCTTACATGCCATATACTGCCAAGTGTCCAGTGAATTTTGTCTTCAACAGCACCTTCCTCTTATCACACACACACTGGTTAAAGCAAGCCACGTGGCAGTTATGGTAGATCCTATTACAATATTATATAACGGTGTACTCTCCTTCTTTATTCTCATTGCTTAAGATAAAGGGATAGAAAAACAGAAAAAACAGGTTATCAGTTATAGCCAGAACTGCCAGATGAGAAGAATAGGGTAAAATAAGGTATGGTATTCACATTTATTAGTTGCTATTACTGTAGTTTAGTTCAGTAGCCTCGTTCTTGTTGATTTAACTTACAAATGTTGGTGATTGTATAATATATCTGAGCAAAGGAATAAGAAATAAAAACCCTCACTGAAATAGATGAATGAGGTACAGTATGGCTTTTACATGGATATGAAGTTTAATTACATTTTCTAGATCCTTTGTATAAACTTAAAAAAACTAAGCAGACTCACACTCATAGTAAGTCCCATCCATTTCAAGGGACTTTGATTTGTAGGACTTAATGTGTATAATCCTTACACATATCACTCGTGTCTGCAGTGTGAGACCATGACATACAGTGGAAAGGACCAGAATATTCCCTAAGGTAGTTTTGAAATATCTCACTATGGGGAAATTACAATGAGTAAAAAAGGCATTTAAGTAATATGTACAGTACAGTCCTGTAGACATTGTCAGTCTCATTAAGTATACCTTATAATGTTGGTACATATTGATTAATTGGTGTAAGCTTGTTTTTTGTAATTTATTTTGGTAATTACCTGCAGTTCATTATTTCTTACATTTTTTTTCATGATTTTTGTATAGATTCCTGAGACATTTCAATAATCAGACTTGTTGGAAAAAAGAAAGGTGAAAGTCATGTTTTTAAAAGTCTTTCCTCTCCTGTATTGTAATGAAATTAAGTCATGAACCTAGTTCCCACTACCCATCTCTTAGAGCTATCGTCCAATGTGTCTTAGCTCTTAAATGGTAGCCAACATCACTTGGTTTTAGCTGTAGTTTTTGTGCATATGGGGGCAGATTAGTGAATCCTTACGCACTATTTAAGGGTTAAGATAACTGAAACTCAAGAATGTGTCAAGATCTTAAGGAAGATTAGGCAGTGTAATGGGACTGCCCAAGGACATGCAACTGCCTGTTCTTATATGTGTTGATAGGGTTTGTACCAGTTATTGCATTTACTTTTTAAATGAATACTACCTGTTTTGTTGAGTAAGAAACAAAAGATTCCTCCTTACTTTAAACACCATCTCTTGTCTTGTTTTCCTTACTTTATTTTCTCTTGTACAGATAGACTAAATTTTCTGTAGCTGTCCTTTTTGATACATAACCTTTTCTCTTACCATATTACAGTAGTTTAGACCATCTGTAAGAGCCTAATGAACTTGGAATCAATTTTCAACAAATATTTTGGGCTTAACCCTGTGAATGCTTCAAGTTATAGGCAAGTCTGAAATGTTTAGGGAAGCTGTACACTCAACAGTCAGGCTTTGTTTGTAAATGGAATATCGATTTCAGCATTCAGATATTAATATGAAATTAAAAGAAGCCACACTAGCCTTCATATACCTATGTTAGTCTACCATAGCTCTTTATTTACTTAATGAACTGTGAGAGATTGGCACAAATATATGAAATTTTGTTTGGTATCTTTTAGTTTCATAATAATATTTGAACATTGAGAGGAATACTCTATTGGCACACAAAACCTGGTTATAGAAGGTGATGGGGGAACTCCACAGAGGTTCCATGTAGAAACTACCATTGCTTTGTTGAATGTAGAAGTAAAGTCTGTAGTTAAGCACCAGCACTGCCCTCACTAGGGGCACTGTAGTTTGCCCATTGGTTGCAGGTACCAGACCCTGATCATCCACAGCCTTTCAAGCACTCTGAGCCACACCACAAACACCAGAAGCAGAAGCTCCAGCAACGCCTCAGTTTGACAGCTGTGTTCGTGCCCGTGGCTCGTAGTTCTGACGCACTCCCTTATTTTGAAGCTTTACAAAAGCTTGACCTCACTGTAGACAATGTGACAGTAGCAGCAATGGACTTGGGTATGTGTAGAGTTTTCTCATTTTGCTATTTACAGTCTTAAGCTATATTTTATATGGTAATTTTTTACAGATTAATTAGTTTTATTTTTCAGCTGCATGTGTTAATACAGTATGTAGTTTCCTCTCGGTAAACTAAATCACTGTGACCTACTTTTGGGTAAATAGACATCATGGTAATTATCACAGGCAACTTTGGTTCTACACTAAAACAGCAAACTACTGTACAGTCATCAGGTTTCATGTGTATCACCATCTAATGATAATTATTAGTCACCTACCTGAAAATGAGGTCACTGTGACACATCTTTATGGAAATACTGTACTGTACTGTACAGGTCATATGAAGTTTGACAGTTGATTATGGTTCTGCCGTAATGCAACATGAATGACTTTTGACACTTCTCTGAAAACTGTAAATATGAATAACTTTTTATGCAGCATAGTACAAGATCTAAAGTTTATAAAGAACATCATATAATGATACCTGTGAGGAGTCAAATTCACCAAAACTAAGTTACTGTGATTTAATTTCTGGGAAATATAGAGCACTAAAGTTTGAGGCTCAACTACAGTAATGCATTATGTTACAGTTTGATGGTTATGAGCATCTTCTACTTAATCATCACCTGAAAACTAGATCATTGTGACATACTTTTTAGGTGATATACTTTATGTATACAGTAGTTTATAGCCAGCTGTGGTTCTGATAATACATGTAAAGGATCATCTTGTGCCACCAAGTTATCTCCCTGAAAACTAGTCATTGTGATCTACTTTTTATGCAACAAACCAATAACTAAACCTACTTTTTTAAAAATATAAGTGATTTTAATTTTTATGTCCTCTCAATACACACTGATGCCATCACCCAACTTTACATGAATAATTTATTCGTCACACTTAGTCAGCTTCCTGAGAGACGACACATGTTGAACCCGCTGCACCTGTAGGCAAACTTTGTGGTCTTCCAACAATCCTAAAGTATAAGAGTAAGCTGTAGCTTTTGTGAAGCTTCTCAGGTAAAAGTTACCTACTTCTCAAAACAATTTTATTTTTGAGGTGCAGTATTTATAGTTATAAGTGAAGGAGATATCAAATAACTTTAAAAAATAAACCTCACTTTATGTTTTTTAATGGTTAGCAAAGTTTGTGTAGTATGATCTTCATCTCATTAAGACACTGAGTTAAGATGTTTGTTTGTATAAGTTGAAGCAGCAAGAAAGAACTTAGCCAATAAGTGCTTAAGGCTGAGAATTTCATGCAAGTTCCTAGTGATTTTTTACTGAGAAGAAATACAGGGAGGAGGGAAAATAATTTGACCGTGATATCCGTACTCATCAGTTTTGATTATGTTGCCATTTTGGAGGATGCTGAACACAGGCAAACATTAGCTGAATGTGTAGCCTGACATTTCCAATAAGATGTTTTTTAAGTTTTGTACACCACCATACTATTACCATACTAAAATGTTACAGGAATACAGTGTTTATGGTTAATTGCATATTGAGTAGGTGTTTTGATAGAATAAAACAGACTACTTTACTGTACTTGAATTCTTAATTGTAGTCACTAGCAACCACAGGGTACATCATTTTTACTGCAGATACCTAAATTTACCTTTGCTAGAGCTCTTCCCTCAAAGACCTTCCAGACATTTTATCTGTATTTTTATCTCTGCATGTAACAGAGTGGCCCAGAATGTCAATAAAGTACCCACTATTTTTAAAATGATTAAATTCATCTTGTGATTGGTGGGATGCTCTTGAAGAAATTAAAATTGCAGTGTAAAAGGTTCATGTTTATATTTCAAAGTTTGTTACCTTTACTGTAACTTGCCCAAAGTAGATTGTTTTATTGATGTTTTGTACCAGTGGCTGAAGTACAGTACCTGAACTTGTTACCTAGTGACAGTATTGTATATCATGATGGCTGGTGTCTCAGGCTTGTGGAAATTTTTTTTTCTGGGATCCAGGTACATAATTTATTATCTTTAAGGTAGGTCTCTCCTTCAGGCCCATTAATCCTGGCATAACTGAATTTCAACTGAGTGTAAGGTAGAGTATTTATCTTAAGACTACCTAAACTGTTGAATCTCATCTGTTCCTACAAAATGTTATAAAGAGGTGCGTGCGTGCATGCTTGGGGATATAACTGGTCACAGTGGACACCAGGTCAGTACCCCTCACTGACAGTCTAATAAATTTAATTGGAAACACTGAAAGTATGTCCAAAATGCATACATCAATCTATCAACCAGCTGACTGATCATTCTTACCTTTACAACTACAACAGAACTTGTAGCTACTGCTTATGCCACTTTCAGTAGTTCAATCCATAACAAGTACAATGCTATGAATGTTCAGTTTTCTTCCCAATTAGTCAAAAAATGGAGATGATAAGGTTGCATAATTATCACACTTCTGGAGGCTGAAACAAGAGATACAACTGATTCCGTGTTTTGAAATCCAAGTTCATTGAGGAATTACAGTGAAGTTAAAAGTTGTAGTGTTAGAATAGCATTTGTTTTCAGTAAGATCTATATTACAGTAGAATGTTATAATTATATTTCTCATCAATTTTTTTTCTCCCTTAAACCCAGGTCTGAAGTACACACTGTTTGACAAACTGCTAATGAGCAACTCATTCCTGCTGGGTGTTGGTGGTGGTGTAGTGGTGCTGCTCATGTGGTGCTACACCGGATCACTCTTCATCACTGTGGTCACCATCACCACCGTCGCCTGTGCCCTCGTCATTGCATACTTTATGTATATATTCATTTATGAGATAACTTTCTTCCCATACATGAATATACTTACTACTGTTATTGCAATAGGTAAGAAAACTTACATAAGAGATATTACCCCTAAAAAATAATAATATTATATAAACAAGATACTGTACTGTACTGTTTCTTACTTATTTAATAAGTTGCATAAAATATGAACACCAGCTATTACTTCCTGTCACCTTTATTGAATATTAAGATATGAAATTAATTAACTGACCTTTAGAACCACCTTCATTTAAGTTTATTTTCAAATATTAATAAAATTGAAAATCTTCACTGCAGTCAGTAATTTAGTACTACAGTATACAGTTCTAAGTTCTTGAGTAGGATGATGCAACTAACTTTTCTCCTTAATGAAGTTACATTATACTCTTTTGATTTTAACAACACATGTAACCAAAACATGTTGCTCTTACATCGAGGAGGAGCATATCAGTGTTTGGGGTACTGTAGTGGGTTAGGAGACTCTTGTTAAATGCAAAATTTAAGATATCATTAAGCAATAGTTCTATAATGCATTGTTAAAGAGCCATCAGTGGGCGTTGACAGCCATATCTTCTTGCCAGCATTTTTCTCAGAACATGAAAATTACTACACAGTTCAGGTTGAATATTTCTTTTGAGAATTCACTGTTCGAGTTGCATCATCTTTTCTTAGCTCTGTTTTTACTCCTCTATCAATAACAAAATCTTGCTGTTCATTAAATCTCTATATTTGTTTCATTATTTGTTCTTCCAGGAATAGGAGCGGATGATACATTTGTTTACTGCCGGGTGTGGACTTTAGCCAAACAAGATAAAAATTCAGGAACCATGGTGAAGCTGGTGGCAGATGCCCTTCATCACGCTGCAGCCTCTATCATCGTCACCTCCCTGACAACTGCTGCAGCTTTCTTTGCCTCTTGTGTATCACATATCACAGCCATACGTTGCTTCAGGTGAGCCTCCTTGAGAATACACAGCTATAAACTTAAAATTATTAGAATTACCACAGTATTAAAAGAAAATTGTGTCCATGTATTACCTTTCAATTACAAATTTTCATTACCAGTACATTACTAAGAATAAGTTTGTGCACAAAATCTTTGAATACTTAATTGTTTAGTACTGCAGTTTTGGGGGCATACAGGAGTGCTCAAATCATTTGTATTCAAGAGGTCCTGTTCTTGATTTGTAGTCATAGCTTTTCTCTTTGCTGTTTATACACAATTCCTCAGAAATTGAATCTTTCCATTTTTTGGTGCATATTTCCAGAAAATATATACAGCACATTTCTGGCATAAAAGAGAAATGTATATATTTGATTGATAATAATTTTAGCCTTTTCTCCACTACTGTCCGAGGCAGGTGACTTGTAGTCCAGACACACACATATTGTACAGTACATAGAGCTATGGCAATATCTGATTAAAAGCCATTTTCTGTGCTTTGCCTTTGAGTATGCAAATGCACATACACACTGCAGGTCAGCTTCCTTGCCAACTTATTTCTCCTGAGCACTAAACACAGGAACTATTCTTCAGGTCAAATCAAAATGTATCGCACCCGGCACTGTTCTCTTGGCATTGCTTATAAACTCTCATACACTTGAGTGGAAGAGGCACAAGCAGTTACTTAGTGAGAGACTTTGAATGTACTGCAGTATCTAATTCAGGGACTCCTATGTCACATATTTTGTATACAAAACTCTGCTTGCTGTTGTTAATATTCAGTCACATGGCAGTGCCTTTCATTGGCTAGGGTCTTCAAGCACAGAATACAAAGTCAATTTCTCCACCACTTATCAACAACTTAAGAAATTTGGAAAAGATATTTTGGTCTTGAGCTGCTCATGGAAGTGGAACCACGAGAGAAGTAGAGAACTTTTCTTTCAAGTAGTGATGTTATTTCTCACTCGCTACATTTTCTTATAACCTTACTGATAGGGCCACCACACATTTTTCATCTTTAATAATGCTAATAGGAAAAAACCTCAACCAATTTTTACTTCAAATCTGAATGAGCTTCATTAAGAATGAAAGGAAGAAGTAACACTATTTTTCTTTTCAGTATATTTGCTGGAACTGTAGTTCTAGCCAACCTGATGCTTATGCTGACGTGGGTACCAGCATGTGTTGTGGTGGCTGAACGGTGGGGAGCTTCCACATGCTGTCTTTGTGTCCCTCCTGTACCTGTATATGCTCCCCACCTGCCCCCACGTTGCTCTGTGGTGTGTGCCCTGCCCCTCAGATTTTGCTACTTTTGTACCGAGTCTGCAAAAGTGTTCTTCGAGAAGATGCTCCCGTGGGTGATAGTGAAGCCCCGCTACTTGTGGATTTTACTGCTGGGGTCTGTGGCAGCCTATAGTGCTGTTGTTGTATTCTACTTCCCAGGTCTGAAGCTTCCAGATTCTCAAGAGTTTCAGCTTTTTTCAAGAGATCATGTGTTTGAACAATATGATTTGGAGTACAAATACAAATTTTGGTTTGAAAGGAACTTGAGAAGCGATATTGTGAATCGATTACCAGTTCGTATAGTTTGGGGAATAAAACCAGTGGATAATGGGGACTACCTCAACCCTGCTTCAAAAGGAACATTAGAATTTGATGATAATTTTGATGTAGCTCAACCAGAATCTCAGGAATGGCTGTTAAACTTCTGCCGTGATCTTCGAAACCAAACCTTCTACATGTCTACTCTGGGTCCTCTACTTCCACATTGTTTCATTGAAACATTTAAAGCTTGGATGAATAGAAGATGCATAGATCCTGTAACAGGTGTTAATCGAGAACCTTGCTGTGAAACTTCTGAGTTTCCCTTTTCCGAAGATGTGTTTAATCACTGCATACACAAGGGCATCAAGAAACTGTACGAGACACCACGAGAGTATTTCACTCCTGGAGTGGCTGGTCCCAAATTCAGTAGAAAAACTGGAAAAATTTTGGCTGTTGTAGTGGAATATGATAGCAACATTTTATGGTCTCTCTCCTATGATGATATGCAAGTCTTTTTTAATCAGGTAAGAAAACTTCTTGTTGATGTACAAATACAGCTAAGTGACTACTGTACAGTATGAGATATATGTACTTTTTATAATAATGAAATAATTATTCCTGCTACTATTCCAGAGATCTTCCTCACCTTGAACTCCATTCTGTCCCTATACCAAATGATGGTTTCTGACTCTCTGGCTTCTGTTACATCTTTACTGTTTACCTTTTAACTTTGCCTTCAGAAAACAGATACCTTTGATCTTCAAAACACTAATGGATGGATTAGGTATTTATTTACGGCCGTGTGTAGTAAGGATTTGTGGTCAAAGTTTTTCAGGTATTATCAGTCAGGATATTGGAAGAGGTTGCAGCCTTAAGGGGTTTGTGTAAATTTTAAATTGCGAATATACATTAGAAAAAACAGGGTTAGGTTCCAAGTTAACACTGAGATTGCCCATTACTGTATTCTTTATCATCTATAAAATTTATAATAGCTTTAATTTATAGCATCATCTAGATTTATAATGACATTTTCTCTGAATATGTGCAGTATTGTTGCCCCACTACCACCACCAACTGCTCTCTCTGGTCTGCAGTCATTTGTGTTCATGTTCACAGTCTGTTCTGTGTAGTATTGTGCATAAATGTATATTCAAGAGAGGTTGTTAACGTTAAAAATATAAATTAAATATTATTGTATACACGGAATAAAAAAAGCTTAACCCCCAGGTACTGTCGCCTGGGAAGGTATTGGAAGCATATTGTGTTGTCTAATGGTAGACCCTGCTGCTATATGGCATCACAAAAATTGTGACCAAGTCCCAGGTTGCTGATCTGACTTTGTGCCTCATTTACACACAATTGCAGGGTCTCAATTGTTTCTCTTACTTGGACAACACAACATACATAATGTGTATCGTTTCTCACTCTTGATTTATTTTTTCGTTTTTGTATTTATTTATGGTTATTATTATTATTATTATTATTATTTTATTTGTATTTGTATTAATTTGCTATTAATTTTATTAATTGTTGTAATAATAATAATAATAGATATTATTATTATTATTATTATTATTATTAATATTACAGTATTATTATTATTATTATTATTATTATTATTATTATAATGTAATAATAATAACAATATGTATATTTTCCCCAGGCCCTGATGTGGGTCAGTGACCTGTGCCCGGGTGGGCTAATGCCTGTTAAAAAAAAAAAAAAAAAAAGCCTTTTGCAGTGAAGGTGGCAGAGCAGAGGTGGTGGTGTGTCATTCCCTCTCATTAAAGGCACCAAATTCCTCAGCTTCCCGACAGATCTTATAAAGATTATCACAAATATTATAGAATATATTTGATACACAACCAGAAACAGAAAAAAACCAATCATTAAAGTAACAGTGATGTGACATCAGAAGCCTTGTGTTGTCTGTTGATCACTCCTTGGTGTAGTGTCACATCCTGGGAGAACATAATTATGTTTCTTCAAGTTAGTTTTGTCATGTTTTCATTTATTTATCTCATATATTATTTTGTAAATATTTGTTACTATAACAAGGCCCCAAGAAATGTTTTTAAGAAAATACTATATATAATTGGAATCCCTGGTTTTACACCAGTTGCAATTATTCAGTCTTTGTGTATATGATTGTACTGTATTATCCAATTTTGTCTTTCTTTAATACAAGAAATTATATATACAGTATTATGTTTCATTGCAGGTGGACACATGGGTGAGAGATCAGATGAAGGAAGCACCAAAAGGGATGAAGGGAGGCTGGTTCACCTCATACCTAAGCTTCTTTGATGTACAGAAATCTTTATCTGTAGGAACAGGAATAGCTGTTGCTGTTGCTGTGGGAGTCAGCCTAGCTGTGCTAGTGGTGACTACCCTTAATGTAGTTGTGAGTCTGCTGGCAGTCTTAAGTGTAGGTGCCGTTATTTTAGTGACATTAGCTGCATTAGTGTTATTAGGGTGGCATCTCAATGTTCTGGAGAGTGTAACAGTGAGTGTAGCCATAGGATTAGCAGTAGATCTAACATTGCATTATGGTGTTGCCTACCGATTGTCCCCAGAGGCCGAGCGTGAAGCTGCTGTGTCTTGGGCTGTGGCCCGTCTAGGTAGCCCAGTATTTATGGCTGCTGCTACTTCCCTTGCAGCTGGGATTGCAATGTTACCAGCTAAAGTTTTGGCATATGTTCACATTGGTACTTTTCTTACTGTAATAACTATGGCATCATACATCTATGCCACTTTGTTTTACCTTCCCCTGTTGCGTATATTTGGCCCGGAGTCAGGGTGTGGACAGCTCTCTTATCCACAATTACAGTGCTGTACTTGTTGCAGTCAAGGCCCTCAGCCTCACGTGGACAAGACAGTATATCAACAGGCTTTTATGAGTGAGTCTACTCTGTCCACATCAAGTACATCCTGTCCAGCACCTCAGACTCATCCTTTATCAGACACACATGAACTTGAACCTTTGACTGCAATGCGATTAGCTGGGCGAGGTGGAACTCACTCTCGTGCCGTCCACAACCCTACCAGACACAAGGTTGGTTTAGTTGAACCTCCACCCATATCAGACATTCCCAATAATCATGTAGCAGCTCATAATGAAGCAGGAATTGTCTCAGGGACAGGTCGTGCGACTAGATCGGGGTCTTTATCATCATCAGTGTATGTACGGGACCATGCAACATTTGTCCCAAGGAAGGTCTCTCTGCCTTCGCCTGGAGGTGCTGTGAGTGAGGGGGGAGAACCCTCTCCTAGACACAGCGTAGCCCCAGCTTCTTCAGCTACAACAATCTTATATTCTGAACCAGACACAGATTCTGGGCAACAAACCCAGCAACCTCCAGAAGGAAATATCACCCAGGCAGTTCTCACTCCAGAGAATGGAACGTTGGTCATCTAAGATGCTGTGGAACAAACGTGTGGCTGTGACTGATAATGTGTAGCACCCTCTTGTGTGATGATACTGATGGTGCTATAGTGAAGCTACCATAGAGTATCTGTAATTGTGATAATATATTGCTCATTTCTCTTATGTTTTATGTAATAGATATTTCATTTGTCAGTCATTTGTAAGATAACAGTAAAGGTAGCTGATGAGTGTCATTGTCTGTGCTGTATCACAGTGTTTTTATGAAGATCAATTATTTAATACCTGTACAGGTGTACCATAGTTACCATGAAATGTGAATTAGTTATCCTTTGTGTGATGGTTCCCTTTTTTTTGTTATGTTGTTAGAAGAGAAAGATTGGCAAGGCTTGTAAGTTACGGAGATTCAGTACCATTCCCACGTTGAACAGGTAAATTTTGATGTATTTGATATGTAGTTAAAGAAATGTACAGTATAATAAAAAAACAAGTACTTAACCTAAACTTATTTTGTGGTCTTCTTTAAAAATAAATTGTAGTCAAGGTTCCTGGGGAATCTGTAATATTAAAAGTAAATTATATATTTGTGAGCCACAGCAACATAGAAGAGGTGACTGGAGAAGTGTTTACATGAAGCATTACATGAAACAGTAGGGAGGTATAAAGGAGCTGTAGAGGGTGACTTACAGAGTGTCTCCAGCATGAACACCAAGAATGTGACTTCCATATTTTTAAGGTGAATGATTACTTGATGAATCTTCACACTACCTTAATATATCAGTCGGCATAAAGATGGTGATTGTTTTTCGACTGTTGGAAAAATGTACTTGCTGGTATGTGCTTGAGAGTAAAACAACTATAATGACTTGTTGTCTTTAGGATATCTTTTAAAACTGAGATTATTGATTTGGAATACATGTAACCTAAGATGTCTATGTTTCTCATAAAGATATATGTAATCAGTATTGATACAAAATTAATAGATGCCAGAAATTAAACATGACCATTGATCTTAATGATAATATAAGACCTGCAAGACTCAGATTCCCTATTTCAAAATATTTACCCAAATTTCTGGTAATTCCATTGACACTTACAGAAGTATGTATTACTAAGTTTAAAAAGAATAATAATTGACCCCCCAAAAACAAAACAAAAAAAGTGAAAAACTTCTCTCTTAAGGTCTGATACATTTGTTTATGAAAATAAGGGCCCAATTATTATTTTATGGTAGTATTTACTTTTTATTATGTTTAACTATTACAGATAGGTTTGTTCTTTACATTAATCTTTTAATTTACATAATTATGTGCCTAATACTTATATAGTTTTGTCAGCCAGTCTGTATCAGTTATACAATTGCTCGGCCACAAAAATATGAACTCATATGGTTTCTTATTTTATATCAGTCTTAGAATTATCTGAACCATATTTATGTAAGTAAAAGCCACATGGAAATAAAATGTAATATATTTTCCTACATTAAGCATAAGTTATTTCCTAGCACTGTGGGTTATCATGCACTGACCTGGGATACAGCCAATAACCCCATCAAGTTCATTGTGACAGGTTGGTAACAATGTCGGGGGTTTTCTTGGTCAGGTTACAGAAATTAATGAAAAATAAAGACTTTTATCTTCACATTTTCATGTCATTTTGAAATATGTACCGGTACTGTAAAAAAACAAGTTGCAGGTGTGTGCATGGAAACCTCTCCTGATTTGTATCATCTTTCTGAGTATCTTGACTCAAGCTCTGATAAGATAACAGTCCTTGAGCTGAATTATGTGATCTCCAGAAGAACCTAATGATAACTTAAGGAAATTAGCCCGAGTTGAGGCCTAAGCAAGAGAGAGAATAATCCAGGAGTTATGAAAAATAAGGAAGCTGCTGCCACCATAAACAAACCTTCTAGGAATAAACTTTTCTAGCCCAATACAATGAACTTTATCAACGGATGCTGGGGCCTTGTAACAATCTGTAAGGTAAAAAAAATTAACCCTATAACAGAAGAGCTACAGGACACTGCATCCCAGAAGAGCACGAGAAATAAGACAATAAGGATTTTGGACAAAACTGGACTGCAGGAAATCCTCTAACAAAAACATCCATCTCACAAAACTTGCATGAAGTAGACAGGAGCACAGTACACAACTCTTCCAACCACCAACTCTGTCCTGAAAATTTTGCTGCAGTTGACCCTTGTAGAGCTTACATATAACTTTATATAAACTTTGTAAGGAATGTAAATTGTTAATAGGAATTGTTTGTACTGTATTTGTGAAAAAAAGAGACCCTTTTTACAGGACAAAAGAGATGGTAAAATTCCAGAATCCTAAATTTCTCAATACAGTACATTCAAACTTAAAAAAAATCATCTTTTCTCATTGTAGCCACCTCACGCTTGTTTTTATTTCTACAATAAGTAAAGATGATTGAGTCAGTGCCTTTAATTTTGTCTGTCTTCCTCTTAACCTTTAAACTGTGGCCAATGTCATTAAACACACACACTCTCCGCTGAGACATTTAAATGTGTATGGTGTTTTCCCGCTTTGTTTTAGATCTAAGAGTGGGCAAGTGAGCAGCAGCATCCTCAGTAAGCCTTTGCCAAGCTTGAAGAGTGGAACTTCTGTCTCATGGTTCAGGAGGTGAAGAAGGGGATGGAAGTGATTCTCTGAACACTATTGCATGTTATTATAATGGAATTATGCATGGAGAAAAACATCCACCAGATGAGTCATGGTAAGTAAATATTTATTTCTGTGTTTTGTTATTCTACATTTACTATTTTTATATGATTTCATAAAAAAATAAAATTATTTTTGGGGAATCTAAAAAAATTAATGGTGCATACGAAAAAGCATTCACCAAAAGAGTTGTACGGTAGTAAAGATTTTGTTTCCAAGTTCTACTCTCCTACATGCTTGTCTATAATTTCATACAATATTTTTTCCTGGCAATTAAAAAAAATTGTGCGTACATGAGCCTCTCAATATACATGATAATTACGTTCTTGAATATGGTCGTGTAAATAAAGAACACGTAAATTAAACAATGTATGTACAGTAGTAGGGACTAAGGGGTTTTGTTATTAATAAGACAGTACCTAATATAGCAGTGATAAACTACAGTATACACGTACCAGGCAATATAAAATATTCTGGGCCTTTCATAGTATCACAAGCATGCTGACGGGAACATTTTCATGAGTTTGGTGTTTGATCCATCTGCTCAACATTTCATTCCATTTTTATCATCTTAAATAGGGAGGTGGTCTGAAAGCATCACCTTCATTAAAGCAAAATATTGTAAATAGAGAGATCATAAATTAAGGTTTACCTGTATGTACTGTACTGTATTCAGTAACCCATAAAGAATATCTATACTGTACTGTACTTTAGGTCACTTAAAACTTTCTAATTGAGATGGGACTACAACTATTCAAAAAAATAAAAATTAGATCATACTCTACAGTACATGAAGAAGATAAAATGTAAGTTTAATATGGATATATGGTAATGCAACTGATACCAGTACTGTACAGAGTAAGAGGTGACTAGATTACTTCAATTATATTGGTGACTGGAAAAACTAATACAGATCAGAAAAAATAATATAACAGATGGCAAAAGAGTTACAAAATAATAATTATAATGTTTTAACCCCCAACTATAAAGATAAGATAGTGAGTGATACACTGTTCAGAGAAAAACATTTTGTACTCCCCAACATCCACCGAGTATCTCGTAACATGGTGACAGGCAGAAGAGACAGAGGGTAAAGAAAAATTTAATTTATAACTTGTTTTTTGCAGAATCATCTTGGTGTGTTTCACCTTAGTGGGCCAAGCAGTAGTGTAGTTCTTTACGTGATATGCATAAGTCCAGTGTTCGTTGTGTGAATAACCGTTTTCTTCACATATGCACGACCAAGCATCGCTGCGAACTCTCCACTTTTAAGTCCAGTTATCTCACTCTTGGTTTGTAGATTAAACATTACTTTTTCTCTTCCGGGGGTGTCTTCACTTACAGGAGAACCTGTAGGAGGTTTGACAGATACCAGCAGACCAAAATAAAATCCAAACACTGAGTAATCAACATTACTGTGCACCATGAGTGTGATGTCACTTGCCCACCCAATTTAGTATCAATTATTGTTGAGGAAGGGAAGTAGGATCTGGACACATGATCCAGAGGCCTTTGTCAAAAATATAACTTAGGTACTCAATTAATGTAAGTACTGTACTGTATTAACAAATGGCCTAGAGACAATGATGGATATTATCACACACTGCTACGTTTTATAATAAACACCTTTGTAAATAAATTGTGAAAATTAATATGAAAATCTTTAATATTTCAAATACATTTCCAGTGTTAGATAGTAAAAATGGACACGTGTCGCTTCACATGAACTGCACTCATGATTTTAAACCATAAGCTCATCTATAAGGTAGTGGAAACTTCTGCTTGATATTTTTTCTTTGTTTTTGGTGTAGATTATTGGGATTTATTGGGGTGTCTGTCTTAGAATGAACTCTTAGGCAAGGAAGATTTCATGATAAACATTTTGGGAGAGAAAGGTACAGTGCTGTTTATACTTGGGGTGTTAAGTGCATCATTCACTGGTTTCACTGTACAGTACACATCAGTTTATAATCCATAAAATAAATTTGAGACCATTGTAATACCTGTACTACCTCGAGGAATATTTTAGATAAACAAAATATATACAGTAGAATGTCGATTTAAAGCAATTCAATTTAAGATAATTGATTTAAAGCGACACCCACAATTAAGGACAATGTTTTAATTTAAAGCGAATCTTTTCTATTTTGCGCGAGTCAATCTGGCGCAGCATATTTTAAAATTCGCATCTTATGTTTCTCTGGGCACGCTACACTGTCCTAAGAGCAAAGCTGTACTGTACTTGTACTCAAAATACTGTAATGTACTAAATGATTACTAAAATTTTTGTCTAGTGCAAACTATAGCATGTTTATATTCAAATTAATCACTATCTTATAAGAATTCCAGTAATGTAAATTGTATTCTCCCCGGTCACTTCTGTGACATTTTATAAACAAAAACAAAAACTCAATCTAAAGGACATAAACAAACAAATAAATACTTCACTAGACCTTCAGCGCCAACTGTCAGACGTGTCACTGTCGCCTTCCCCCTCCCCCTATCTTCCCAGCCAGGGTTGGGTGGTTATAGGCTTACAGTTTTTAACTTATATAATATCACAGACTAAAGCTAGGAGAATATAATTTGCATTACTAGAATCCTTGTGAGACAGCGCATAATTTGAATATAAACGTCATATATTTGGCACAAGAGATAAAATTTTTAGCCCTTTGCAATAACATTAATTAGAACATGTCAACATGTCAGTTCAGTGACATTTTATAAGAGAAAAACTTAGTTACTCTAAAGGACAGAAAAATAAATAAGCACCAGACCTTGGCATCAACTGTCAATCATATCACCTCCCCTCTCCTCCCCCCCTCCATCTTCCCATCAGTTGATCGCTAGTAAACAGACCATTTCATGTCCCATAATTTTAGCTGTGTGATTTATGAGTGTTTGTTTTAACATAATACTGTACTATAAAAAACAATGTTTTGTTTATTCTAGGAGATGGGCTGAGGTGCATCTGGGTAGACTCACAGTCTTTTTATATTTTGTGTGTCTTTCAAGTACCAAACTAAATTATTTCATTGAAACAACACTTCGATTTAGTGCGAATTTGGTTTAAAGCGACCTCTCTTGGAACGTATCTCGTGTTATATCGATGTTCTAATGTAATTTGCAGTAAAAGGAACTTTCCACAATCTCTAATAAATTGCTGTCCCTTAAACTGTACTATAGTTTTAATAAATGAGGTTCTATTGTACTTGAAGGGGAGGGGAAGGTAATGGTATTCTTTGTGGCAAGACTGTAATTATAATCTAAATGAAAAATTATATACAGTTCAAAATAATATAAGTTTTAGTAATGAAAGTAATCCTCAACAGTTGGTACAGAAAGAGTTAATAATACTTCTTATTTATTTATATTTTTCTTTCATAGGTACATAGACATTATATATATTTTTTTTAATGTGATACTGTGCACATACATTTTGTAGGAGGAAAACTGTAGAATATAACCCAGAAGTAATGTACTAACCCCTGTACAGTACTGTTAAACTACTGACAGACTCCTCACTTAACCTTCCATCTATGTTGGAGTGACTGATGGAGCAGAGGCAAAGTTCACTGCTCTGGAGAACTAAACTGTAACTAAGAGACTCACTCCTGGCTCACCACAACACACAGTCATTGCCAAGAACTAACTGGACAAAAAGTTGGCGAAAGAGAATATTAGTGTCCAGTGATATTAGGTTCCCATGAAAGGCGATTTATTAAATTCCTAAATTATTAACAGTCAAGTGTTATGATATCCATTTTACATATGTCTATACAGCATGTGCTTATTTAAACTTATATTAGTGTACATTATATACAGAATTAGACTTTAAAATATCAAACATATATTAATAAACCCTACAGCTCATTTTAATTCTTACTGAAGCATAGGATACCTAACTGCTTGTGTTGGAAACTGATTTAGAAGATTTTTCTGATATATGCCAATAACTGTAGTTTTTATTATTATATTAAATTTTGAAATATTAGCATCCGATATAAAATAAAATTGTACCCGATTAATGAAGTCAATCAGTCGATACTTTGAGACTTTTCTCTTGTTTTCTCTGCGTAAGAAGATTTTTTAAGAAGAATTCACCAGCTTTGTATGAGGACCGCACTAATGGTCCACTTGCAGTGTACACAAAGCCTAAACTCTTTCCAACTTCCTCCCAATGTTGGTATTTATCCGGTGTAACATATTCTGTCACTCTTAGATGTCGCTTGGTTGGCTGCATATACTGTCCAAGAGTTACACACTCCACCCCTGCAGTACGTAAATCTGCAGAATAAAAGACACTATAATTACAAGACTGTATTTGTTAATGGCAAGAGGACGTTCCCTTAATCTTGAAGGAAAAATTTATGTAACTGGCGTGAGATGTGTGATGTTGTAGGGCAAAAGGATGATATAATAATATACAGAACAAATTTAATAAACAGACCAGAACGACATTTAAAGAGAGACATTATAAATATCAACACCTCAACCATTAACTTACCCTTCATTGTCTGCAGAATTTCATCGTCAGTTTCACCAAGACCCAACATTATAGATGATTTAGTCACCAAGTCTGCTTTTACTGTTTTAGCATGTTCTAAAACTCCCATAGATTGCCTGAAAGAACATATTTAATCATCTTTAGTCACATATGCAATTGAAAACAAGGAAAAAGATAGTTCAATCTCTTAATACTGAACACACTGATATTTCTCAAGACTCTGTTTGGGTCGTGATCCTGATGGTGATCAAGGAAGAAGACCAAGTGAGCTGGGTAAGAAATGCTCTCCCTGAGAAACACAAATAAATACTTTGAGAGCAACCTTAAGTATTGCCTGAAGTGATACCTCTTGTGTTGCTAAATTTTCTTCATTCAAGTACATCCAAGATTAAAGATCAATTAAAATAAAGGTTAAAAGTTGGAACGGAGATAAAAACTTTACCCAAAAAATGTAGTACCGTACATGAGGAGCTGAAGATTGTACAAGTTACCTGTATTTTGCTCTGGGATCACGTACACGAGGAGTCAGGGCTTCCACCGTCTCGATATTGTGAGCAAATACATCCAAGTTAGAATTAGAAATTGTTGCTACACAATCTTTGTCTCCTCGGAAGTCTGGAACAAGACACTCCACCAAGATGGAAGAGTTCCTGTAAAAAAAATAGAACATGATAAATACTTTAAGATTTATTGTAGAGTACATAAAATTATCCTTGAGAATCTACGATGTTGTTCAAAGGGTATTACAAAATAATATCATTTGCGGTAGTTCATTACACTTGGTACTCTACCTTGTCCCAATAAAGGGCTGACAGGTATTTTATGATAGTACAATAAGTCAAACTACCATAGATGCTTTGGCTTTACAATTTGGTTAATGACTTTAAAATTACAGATGTATCTTTTGGTATAGTACAGCGATTCATTTACGTGTTGAACAGTGAAGAGGATAAAATGCAGTGTTTGGAGATTAATAAATCTCGGTAGGTGATTGGATTATTTAAATGAATTGAAATACTGATGCCATATTAATCTATTGTTTAATTACAGTTCCAGTTCCTGTCAAAATTGGTGCAGTTAAGGTTAAAAATGTCAAAAGTTCACAACTAGGCATAAGCCTCCTTCTGCAAAAGGAATGTCAAAATTAAGTGAAGTACAAATCCCTTTTTAGGTAATGGAGTGGAAACTTTAGCTTGAAGAAAATTTGGTTTCAGGAGTTTTCTTCAACTTACTTCAATACAGGGAAACCACTTTTAATATTTTATTTGGCTAATGCCAGACAATTTTAATCAGCTCATAGTGGAACTCATACACAAGGGGTTAGAAGATAAATCACTTCTAAATTTCTTCGTAAAAGGGGTTACCTATTCTGACTTGGGGATTAATTCACTCTCCTTGTCTGTCTTACGAAAAATAAGCTTTCATAACTGATTAGCGGTCGGTTGTGGTACATGTAGTAATCAAATGGCGTAAGTTCTTCAATGATCCCAGGTGAGATATATGATATACGAGGATCAAATTTCTGTCGGCAACACAAGGTTTACAGTTACTTACTGTCTCTTCAGCTCGTTCACTGTTTCTGCGAAGTGCGAGGAACCTCCATCTGGTATATCTGTAGACAAAAACAACATCAAATGTCTATGTGTATCAATGAAATGCAATACTGTACCTGTAATAGAAGCCTGAACATATTATAAAAAAATCACCCTAAGACCAATGAACCTGTGAATCCGATACATCAAACAGTGCACCCAACAATGTGTGATGTCTCGGATTCACAGTTTCGCGAGTCTCAGGGTTCATGAATGGGACAGAGGACTGACAGGACTTTTCTGTGGCTTTACAGTTCAATAATCTAATTTGGTTGGACATTTTAAAAAATATATCATATGAAAATGTATAAGACAGTCCATATTAACATTCTATAACTCTGTTTTCGGACACTTACCGGTATATTATTTTGTATCACGGGTAAATGACTGAAGACAGTGTTAGAAGTACAGTATTATCACACACTATCATGAGACTAGTATATAAAGATCAAAATGATTTAATTGCCAACTATCTCTCTCTGTTTCTTCATCCACAAAACTGTAATCCTATTCAATATGGCATTAGTCTCAAATACAGTAAAGCTAAATTGTACTCCTTATGAAATGTCTTACTTAAGTTTCTTTAATTCTGCTTCCCTTTCTATTACAGTGCAGGTACGTACTACTCCATTTCACCCTCGGCATGTATTTTCTCACCTCTGGTATTTCCAACTTTTAAGACTGTAAAAGACTAAACATACTTTTCACAACAAATTAGAAAGGACTTGATCTTCCCAGGGATATAACATTGTTATAGCTGAGGTGTGCTTCTGATTGTAACATTTTATAATGAGTCAACTTGGAAAATTTACTTATTATGTACAGAACAGTACAGTACTATTTATATATCTGAGTACAAAGTATTTTGAAGTGTATATCTATAATTAAATAAACTGTACTGTACAGTATATACCTTTCAGGTTATTAAGGTCGTACTGTAATATTAAATTATTATACAGGGGATATAAACAAACACACACACATATTGATCTAATGGCACCTCTTTTTCCAGTTGTAAACTGTAATTATAATATTATACCTCAAGTTGAGAAGCCCAGATTAGACTTCACTTTACATTTAGATGCTAATTACTGTATTTGATTATGCCAATATTATAAAAAATAAAATAAACAATTTACCATCTCGATCTACAGAAGTAAGAACAACATAGTTGAGTCCCCATTTGGCAATGGCTGTGGCAGTATTAACAGGCTCCTCAGGGTCCAAAGGTGGAGGCTTGCGAGCAGTCTTTACTGAACAGAACCGACAACCTCTGGTGCAGGTGTCTCCCATGAGCTGTGAAACACAATACTGTACAGTAAACATTATATAATTATTTTTGTAATTATGGTTATACCCAGGTACAGTACAGAGAGGGAGGCAAGATAATTCTAATCCAATATACTGTAGTCTGCACCTACCATTATTGTTGCAGTAGCAACATTGTCTTCATTGCCTCCCCAACATTCACCAATATTTGGACATCGAGCCTCTTCACACACTGTGTGGAGGTTGAGCCCACGAAGGTCAGCTTTTAACTGCCATGAAAAGAAACAAAATCACTTAATACCAAATGGTACAAGAGTGATAAGGGGAAACACAGTATTGTTAGTTATTGTGAGTTTATTAAATGAAGATATGCCAGACTCCAATACTGGAAGTTACTAATCTTAAAAGACAAACTTGAGACACATCTCATGATACAAAATAATGAACAAAGTTACTATTTAACATTAGAATTAACTACAATAAACATCTGCTAACAGACATTAAACTGCCTTTTACATGGAACACATACATTAGTGATAATAACGCTCTTGGATTATATTTCTTACCTTATTATAGTTTTTCCCCAAAGGGATTTCACGTTTGAGCCAAGGAGGAAGCCTCAGACGGTCTGTTTCTCCCTTTCCTCGCTTCAGCTTCCCAGTGTAATCTGACCAAGTCATATCCTTTGTGACCTGTAGAGACAATTTTGGGTTTAATACTTCCAGCTACAAGACAAAAGACTGTTTGTTCTGGCCACCATATAATATAACAAGAGGGACCACAAGAACAAAATAAAACCAGTGAATTTTTACCCAGGTGTTTATCCAGTAATATCTAACAACACTATCATCTCTGCTTATTTAATTCCTGCTCAAAAACATAAAGAATGGTTTGAGTCACCTGGCAATGGAGTGCACCAGAAAAATGGCTTTGCGGTTACTCAACATTTGAGTCAAAATATGTCAAGTGTTAGTTAAGAATTTGTACTGTCAATAAAAAAGTATCGACCACCCTGCAGTACATAACAGTATGAAGCATCGTGCGAATACTGTAAAAGTATAACTGTTGTTTCTGCCGTCAGTTGGTCGGTATCACTCGTTTTCTATTCCACCAACTTTGGGATGGTTTACTTATTTTACTTCCACCAACTTTGGGATGGTTGGTACTTATTTTACTGACAGAACATCAGCCCAAAATACCTTAAAATGAGTCACTTGTCTAAGATGTGAAAATACTGCAAGACTTCCTGGTTAAATTAACTACAATCTCCAAAGACAGTATAGTACTGTGAGGTTCTTACAATTTAAATATTTTTTTTTTACCTTCCGAGGTACAGTAATTTAATATACAATACCTGCACTTACTACTGTATCTATATATTAATTCAGCAAAAAAAATCAAGTTTGTAATATAAATCAAATTAATATAACCTCTCCTGATATAAAGTCTTCCAGCGAAGGTCCTTCAGCCACCTTCTCTTTTTTACCATTTGGCAGACTACTGGTTTGTCTGGTGATGCCCATCTGGGTCGGAGCAAGAACCTGAAAACAGAACAATAATATATTAAAACTTGATAAACAGTAAACTCTTCAATAATACAGTTTAGTTTGCTACACTTAACACACTGGAATAGATCATGGACCCACAAATTCATTTTTAAGAAACTATAAGCTAAGATAATTCTGTTGGGTGTGTCATGGATCATACCACAATTATTTACTCTGGTGGTAGATGGAGCCCACAATATTTCTCCAGCATCTGTGAGATCTTATTTTATATTCTTTATTTTTCATCCATAAAATTTAAATTTAAACATATACAAGTACTACTGTACCTGTTAATGTTAATTCTATATAAATGAAAGTTTTTATAATTAGTACAAAAGTTGTGTCAAAATACTGTATTACAAAATGGATATATCAATTTACAGTACAGTACAGTATGTTGCTTTTATATCAATGTAAAGGAACTATTGTAATTCTTCCACTTTTATCTGCATATTTTAATGGTAAGAAAGAAACTTTGGGCAATACATTACAACAGCACATGTTATTATGAGCCACTTTAGGAACAAATTATATTGTATAAAATTTGTTTCTTATCTGTCAAATACTAATATGGGTGCGGAGGAACAGCAGGTTAATATTTAGTTTTTATCCCAATAGGTATTTCATATTTTTTACCTTCCAACTTTTTTGTCCTGAAGACCAACCTTGATCAACCTGCCGTTATCAGCCGTTTACATGACCGCTAAGAGACAAATGCCTCTTAAACATTAACACTCGTTCTGTAATGGCAATATTGTCCAGGATGGCGCTTCACACCTACCTAACCTAACCTAACCTACCAATCCTAAGACGGAAACACATTAATTTAGGTTAGGTAGGTTACTTGATCACAGTTGTTACTAACAGTTCACATGGAAAGTTCATTGGGTAGGTTGCTCAGTGCTAGAATTCCTTAGTTGACAAGTTCATCAACAGTGTAACTCTAAACATGGCAAAGCAGTTGACCATGACTAAATCCTCCAAATGTTTACTGATATTTGAAAGGGAAGTAACAAGTTCTCCATGGATATTTTTTGTTGTATATTATTACCACATTTTTTCCTTAAGTTGTTCCTTCTCACGACTCAGAGTAGTGTATTATTATCCAACCACTGGCTCAGTAGTGTAGGAGTAGCACTGTACCATAATGACACAGTTCTCAAGGCTATTAGGACAACAAGCAAGAGTTCCAGGGTTCAATAAATATCCATACCATAAAAACATGATACTAACTTTACACAGTCGTACATTCTGCCACGACATAGCTTGACACCACTGTACAAGGTGGTGTGTAAACCCTGGTAACAACCTTAACCTAGCTGCCATTATGGGTCTCCTTCACTCCTCCTGAACTACACAAACACAATAAACTAACTAAACCCAGAGGATAGTCTTATTTTCATCATTTACTCCCTGAATATAATTTTCTTAGATGTGTTAGCAACTCGATAATTCAAAATAAGGTTTTAAATTTTATTGTGGAGGTGTAAGATAAAGGTAATATAGGGTATAATAAAAATAACTCGGTAAGACATATGTAGTTTCCATTTGTGTTGAAGTCTTATATATTTAGTTTCCAGAATAGAATGAAGAGAATTCTACTGAAAATTGTCGTAGGTATTATAAAAGTTATAAAACATTCCACCAAAAAAGGTTTAAAGTTAAAAATTATGTGTATTTTTGTTTAGTGATTTTTTGTATTTCAGAAGGATTTGTTTTGGTAAGGGAGCGCGAGGTTAAACAAAAGTAGAGTGTGCACGACGCAATATACTGTACTATAATATTTTGCCTAAGGATTTGTAAAATTCTTGGACACAGTATTCACAAACGTAAATTTCAGATTTGAAAATCAATGATCCCCAATCTTCTACTTAGGAGTGCAGGCGTTGTTGCTGTACATCGAAAATGTTTTTATCCTAAATTATTTTGTAAGACTATCCTGCAGAGCGCGAGTTAAATTATGTATTTAATATGAAAGAAACTCGTTATTGCACTTAACTATACTGTAATTATTACACTATATTATTACATACATTCTTGGGCACCTAAACTAACTACAGTAGTTTAGTTGCTCCTTATCTCGTGAATGGCCCCTGTTGACCCAAGGAATTGTAAGCTACAGTTTTTCCCGAGATTATCTTCCTTATAAAATATATCTCCAACATTACAACCTTTGCCACTGCTCACCAAATTTTTAAATATTTAATAAGATTCATTGAAAGCAGCCATTTTCAATTGGAATAAATTTAATTTTATTAATATAAATTAATATTTGAATGTACTCATACCAGAATAAATACTGCAAAATAAAAAAGAACAATCTGTTAAGTTCATATTACAGTACGATACTAAAGTCAGTCAGCCCCTGAAACATTCCGTCATTTATTAAGGACAACAGGAGCCAGCCATGCCAAACCTGACCTAACGAGCTACAAATAGTGTTTACGGTAGTTAGGTTTGCTTCTTTGAGTCCCCCGTTGTGAGAGAAGAGGACTTGAGATACTTTACACCACCACAATACGAGGGATGTCAGCTGCTACTAGAGGTAAGGACAAAAATATTTATACTAAAACTAATATGACTAGTTTAGCTCTGCAAGGATGGTTGACAGTTAGACTATTATGCGGTAAAATTGCCGTAGATTGTACAACTCTTACTTCCAAAAAATTAGGGGTTAGCATTTTTCTGTACTTGAGGCTATGAACACTAGTAGGTTTAGTAACTATATATACTCTACATCTAACTGAGTGATGTTATTTGAGGTGCTCGTAATATTGTGTCAACTGCCCCACCCCATTGTCCCTCTGAAGTATAAATTAGACAGTTGTAAACGTTCTAATCTCTCGGTAAGGTTAGGTTTGGTGATAAAGCTGCAGTGGTAACATTTCCTTGCCCGTGACTTCCGCAAAATGGTCAGTGTGGTAAAAATAACTTAAACAAGAGAGTTAAATAGTTAATTTTACAGACTATATGACCCATCCACACGTAACAGTTGTAATGTTTAAGTAAAAAATCTTGTGAATTTTATGTCGTTAAGGTAAACTATTCGACATCTCCTTCAACTTTGTAAATACTGAGAATAATGACTGATTTTTTTTTTGGTGGGGGAGGTTATTCTTATTCGTGTCATTTTTTTTTCTGTCGTGTTTCTCGGCTAGATCATGGAGGTACCTCAACCCAGATAAACACACCTTGGAAATCTGTACACACTGTCCTCTATTATTTTGAGGTGATACTGACCCCAGGAAAAGGTCACAGGTCAGGGTCACAGGTTTAAAAGTCATTCGGCCGCGGTGTACAGGATGCAAACTTCATCTCTTGGATGGACAACCTGCGGCTTTAACTTGTATTCAATATTCCGTCACGTGGGGCGCCTTCCTCTCAGTGTTCACCCCCACTGATTGTTTTAGATCGTTTCCGTAATTGTACTGACACTAAACAGAATTTTAATTAGGGAGTTTTTCACATTTAAATATTAGTATTTTTTGGGGGGGGAGGGGTAGGTAAGCTGTGAACCTTTTAACACGTTTATCTCAATGCGTTTCATAACCTTAAGCTGAATTTTGACACGCCTCCCCCCACTTAAATGAAAATCTGTGTATCCGTATTTATTATTATTTTGTTTTGTTTCCCCATGACCCGGTTGTTTGGTTACATATTTTACACACTGCTTACCTGGGGATGTGTTGGTGAGGTGTACTGTAGAGCCTGGGAGGGTGTGGTGCTTCTTCCTTGACCCTGGTGAGACCCTTGTCCGTGTTTGGTTCCCTCTCCGTCCTTGGTAAGTTTAGATCTTTTGCACGGTATTGAGGTCATGTGTGTTTTATTTAAGCATTTTTTATAAGATTCTTTCACATTAGATGATTAGTTTACTCAAGACCAATCGTGTTCAGTAGCATGTTCTGTTCCATTCGACATTTCTATACTGCATATCCTTTGTGCTTTATTTTCATTTGATAAAACACTTAGCTTAGACACGGCACCTTTTAGTGTCCAGAAAAGTTGTTGTTTAGTCTTTGTTACTTGCGTGGTAAATAAGTCGAGAAAGGTTCAGTTAAGCACGACTCCCCTCACGCACCAGGCACTGAGAGACAGGTAAGTATATACGGCACACGGCGTAAAATGATGACACTGTAATATTTATTATGCACTTATACCATGCGAAGGAAAAACCACAATGTGTCTTAATCCTTGTTGAAAGTGAAGCCACCAACGTCTTGTGTCTAACTTGACGTCTTTTGTTGAATTTATTTATTTATTTGTTTTTTTAATAAAGGAGGACAGGTAAGATTGTTGGGTCCTGGTGGTGGGAGACACAGACAGGTACTTAGTGTGAGGGCAGAAGCAGCTCTTGATTTTGCCAGGGGGGAGATAAATGTGTTGATTTATATGACGATAAACTTTATTACTTGCTTTGAAAATGTTGTTTCCTTCCGGGACTGTCGTAACTTACGGCTCGTGTGATAGCGAGTTGCTTCTTTAAAATGTCTTCATTCTTGGTGTAGGTCGTGCTGGTGGTGGTGTAGGTCGTGCTGGTGGTGGTGTAGGTCGTGGTGTTGTTGCTGTGGGTGGTGGTGGTGTAGATCGTGCTGGTGGTGGTGTAGATCGTGCTGGTGGTGGTGTAGGTAGTGCTGGTGTTGCTGTGGGTGGTGGTGGTGTAGATCGTGGTGGGGTGGTGTAGATCGTGCTGGTGGTGTGTAGGTCATGGTGGTGTAAGTTGTGGGTGGTATTAGTGTAAGTTGTGGCGGTGCTGGTGTAGGCGGTGGTGGTGGTGTCACAAGATGGTGGTGATGGTGATGGAGTTAGTGTTGGGGGTTGTATGACAAGACATGGGGGAGTTTGTTGGCCAGGAGTTTGAGGAGGGCGAGGAGGGAGGCTCCAGTAAGTGCCCCCACCACACCACCCACCTCCGACACAACACCCGCCACACTATGCACAGGAACCTCCCTGAACACGTCGTGGCGGTCAGAGCTCATCACCAGCACTATGTTTTGGGTTTCTCGTTCTGGTGTTGTGCTGACTACCCTTGGGATAACCCTCGTTGACACTATGTAGCTGGTACTCTGGCAGTCAAGTGGACACGTAGACTCACACGTTTCACTCACAGAATAATAATTATGGACTGTGTTTTTCAGCTTGTCGAGATACTTTGGGAAATGTTTGTAAGATGTGGCATTACATGTTGGTAATAATGGGTGATCTATGAAAGGCAGTACGCAGTTGTATTCGGTAGCAATGCTGTCCAGGATACAGCTCTGGGTACAGTCATGGTGTGACTTTAATGTCCTTCTTGCATAATGATTATCTGGAAGCCTCAGGAAATCTGTTTTATCTGCCGTTATAATTATGTCTTCCTGGTATGTATCATGAGGAATTTCCACGTTAAACAGATCGTCGTTGAATATGGGTGTGTCGTACCGGGAATGGACCTTTATAAAATGTCTCTGACCAAGGTCGCTGCCACTGAACACCATATTCTGTATGAGTTCATCTACAGAAGGAAAATAGAGGAAGTCTTCGGTTACAACTTGCGTAATTTTCACCAAGGAAACATCCACCTGTGAGAGCCGCCTGTCACGTGGAGGCGAGAAGGTAAAGCAGCGATTAAGTGAGGTGACCAGAGGGCGCCAGTGAGAGCTGGTGGACCCCACCTCTTGCCTCACACCATCCAAAGTAACGGAGTCTACCAGGTCGGCCAGATCCCACCCTGCCGTCTCCCACACAAACCTCATGGACTGGTTCTCTAAACCAGGAAGAGTATTCATGATATTTTTTACTGTGCTTAAAGAGGTATCACAAGTATAATATGAGAAGAATGCGTTTCGGGTACAATATTCCTCAACATTGATGTGTAGGCCGAGATGAGATAAGCGAGACATATTGAACGGGGGCCACCTGCACACAGTGATGGCTGGGAAATCGTGGCCTGTTGTGACCTCTTCCTTGTAACTATTATAAGTGGTTTTACTGACATACATCTCTTGTAATCGTGTGATGAGAAGTACTGTGACAGCATCTAGAGCAACAAGCAACCAGCACAGGGTTATCAATCTGACGCCATGAGACTTGGCGCCTCTGTCCTGCCCTCGTCTGATGACAGAGGAGGTAGTTGGTCGAAACAAGACTTCGGCAGCCCATGTAACCAGATCGAGGACACTGCAGCCCAGATACAGGCCCAGAATACCCCCCAGCTCGGAGAGGAAAGAGAGTGTTGTTGACAAAGGTTGTTCTGACAGGTGCAGATGGGAAGTTGTCGGCTGCCACACCTTAATATCCGAGTCCTTATCACGGTATTTTCTATGATTCTGGTGCCTAACGATGTAGTAAACGCTCTCACACTCACTTGGGCAAGATTCTT